AATATGGAGACAGTCTCTCACATCCGCAAAAGAGAAGGACAGATCTGTTATTTTCTCTACAGTTAGCTGCTCAGTGATGCCAGCGACCAGTCCATGGTCAAAGCACGGGAGTTAGGCAGATGACCTCACTCTAGCTCGCCTTGTCCTGGCTTCAGGTCTGACAGCAAATGCTCTGCCCTTACCTCTTCCATGCGTCACCTGAGCTGGGTCCTGAAAGGCTGACCCGGGGAGCTTTCTCTACTCTCTGAGTCTGCAGTGAGGGCTGCCACCAGCAGATTTGGGTGCCTTAGCAAAAGAGGCAAGGGAGAAGGCTGCTTCTCTCCCTGCCCAAAGGCAGCCTGGCTAAGGCCTCCCATCAGCAGTGCCTGCCAGCACCTTTCTTGAAGCCTCAGCTGAGGTAGTTTGGTCAGCAACTCTCTTGCCCATTCCTTTGTGCCTAAGGATGCTGAATGCCCCCTACTCCCACTGACCCTTAGAGGTGTCTCTCAAGCCTACCTGCACCTTGTGAACAATCCTTCAGTCTCCCTTCAGCACCCCTTCTTGGTGTACTATCTGGTTTTTGCTCCTAATCCAAATTGCAAAAAAAGGTCCTCCATTTCTAGTTTTGACCATGCTGGAAAGAGCGCTAGCAACTCCAGCAGCCTGGTCTCCCTGTTTCCCTGGAATTCCTTGTGCTAGATAACTCTTCGCTTTTGTAGAAAGCAGAGAAGTGTGGGTGCTAAAGAAAATGACACTGAAAACTAGTGTCCACTGTCCAAGATGCATCACTGCTGATCTAGCTCCATGCTGTTACCCTGGCCAAGGACAACTCTCTGGCTACAGGAGCCTGTTCTAAGCTTGGGGTTCCTTGCACTTAGAATTGGTGAGCCAGTTTCATGCTCCCCTGGCTCTCCTTTTGCAATGTTCTACTGCATGTCCACCTTCAATATTCTAGATCTTTCAGCCCAGACAAGCCAGGCAGCCCTGTGTATCCACGCACATGGAAAGCACATTCACACAGAGACTCATTCATACACATGCACTTGAGTGTAAACACACCCATGTATGCCCATGTAATCGTGTATATACACTCATACACACTCACATGTACACACATGCACAAGCAAGCTTAATCCACATCTGTCAACCACAGCACAAATTCCAACCCCTTAATAAGTAGAGTACTCTAGGAATATCTGTCCTCCAGAAGGAAAGGACCTGTCCCTACATGTACCTCACCCAACAGTGACAAGAGAGAACAGATTTAGAATTTTATACCATCTTAAAATGGATCAACAGAAAACCCCCCCCACACAGAGATCCCTGAGCCAAGTGTCCCTGCAAACATGGATCACTACAGTTTGTGAAACAGAACACACCATGTCACCAAAGGGACCTGTCAAAATTACATTATATAGACTGTACTGTATTTGCGTAACTAGGAATACACACACACACACACCACCACCACCACCACCACCACCACCACCTCCACCACCACAACAACAAAATGTAAAGAAAAAGGGGCCATGAATTTGAAACAACAACAACAACAACAAAAGCATGGAGGGGTGGTACATGGAAGGGATTGGAGGGGAAAAAAGAAGAGGGAAATTATTTAATTATGATCAAAATTTATTTTCAAAAAACACTATATAAGTAATAAATAGATTAATAAATAACATGTGACAAGTAGTGACAGGCAGATGAGAGACCTGAAGTTGATGCTTTACGATGGATGTTTGATAGATAACGGATGGATACCTAGGTACATGGGGAGACCAGAGACAGATTTAATTAGCTCCACAGAACACATGTCGAAATAACACTAGACCAATCAATGAGTTTCTTTTTGCAAATCCCACAAAGACAAGGTCACACAGCTTGTCAACAGCAAAATTAGAACTAGACACCCAACTTCCTGATAGTGCATCTTCTTTCTTTCCAACAGGCCCTGTTCCTGTCGAACTCCAAATCCCAGGATTCTGTTGATTGAAGGGATTGATCTTATTTCCAAACTAAACCCTGGTGTTTGTGACTCTGTGCAGTGCTGTGGCCTGGTGCTCATTACAGGTACATCCTCTCCTGAGGATGGTGTTTGTGATTGCAGTGGCATGGCCTGGCTCCCGCTACAGGTACACCCTTTCCTGAGGATGGTGTTTCTTTGCAAGACAGACTCTTGGGTCCACTTGGAGATTGCTAGGGCCCAAGGAAGGGTAAATGAGCCCTAGTTCTGGAGACAACAGGGTCCTAGGGTCCTAGATAAGGAAGACAACCTTTTCAACAGATATCTTGAGTAGGGACAGGAGCTGGCCTTGCCAACCCCAAGAACGGACTGTTGAAATCAAAGCCAAGGTCTTGGCTAGGCCTAGAGGTCCACGACCTGACAGTTCATCTGCTAGAACTAGAGCCAATTATCTTGTCCTGACCTCAGCCAGGACACAGAGCCCAGCCCTCACCTCTTCTCCAAACCTCTTCTTCTGTGCCCATTTCTCCTCCTGCACCTTGTGAACAATCCTTCAGTCTCCCTTCAGCACCCCTTCTCGGTGTACTATCTGGTTTTTGCTCCTAATCCAAATTGCAAAAAGAGGTCCTCCATTTCTAGCTTTGACCATGCTGGAAATAGCGCTAGCAACTCCAGCAGCCTGGTCTCCCTCTTTCCCTGGAATTCCTTGTGCTAGATAATTCTTTGCTTTTGTAGTGACACTCTTCTATAGCGTTCAACAAGCCGCATGGACCCATCTTGTCTTCTTCTGCAAGTCTGAAGCTCACTGAGGGTGGTGAAGACTCTTCTGCTAGCTCCCACAAGAGCAAAGGCTGGCTACACCGTGCATGCCAGAAAGAAGAACCGTCATTCAACACCCAGCACGGTACCTGATGCAGAGCAGGCACCAGCCGATGTTGGGTGTTCTCAGCAGACTTCCACATTCTACAGCCAAACAGAATCTGTGGTATAGATAGGTAGTAACTGACAGGGAGTCAGGGCAAGACAGGGGTAAGCCTGGGATGATGCATAACTAGCCAGCTCTCAGAATCTCTGCTTAGGCAGTGTGGGTGCTGAAGGAGCTCAGGCCACATCTGGGCTCTCAAACGCAGATTAAATTGAGTCGTGGAGAAGGGGAAATCTGAACCATGTTATCGCCATCTTACCTGAGCCCTTGAACAAAGCCTTGTGGGAGGTGATTATGCAACTGCCCAAACTAAAATGAGGGTCTCACCCTCCATGAAACCCATTGCCCTCACAGCGAGGAATCTGGTCAGACCCAGCATTTTTATAGCCCAAGAAGAATACTGCGTGAAACAGCGCCAACACTCTTGGCTCAGAAGAACCAGGGACTATGGACAGAAGATGTGGGGCCATCTCCAATCTTCACCCGCACTCACCCCCACATACACCTTCACAAACTGCAGCTTGAGCCTTTGAAAATGAGCAGCAAGTCCAGCTGTGAATTCGGACGCCCAGAGTCCAGCGTGGGCTCCAGCCCTCTTGTTCTCATTTTCTAGACTGAACCCATTTTTAAGACTTCTCTGCTAATGTATTGGATGGGAGATGCCACAATACCAGCACCTTTGTACACACCACTGCCTTCACTGTTCCATCTAGGCAGCAGCTGACCTCTGGGGATACAGCAAGCGGGGCAGATTCAAACTGACGGTGAACTAGGTATCTATCCGCCTCTATGCCTGGGTCACACAGCTCTGGTGCTGGAGGCCTGCCAAGCTGACCTATTGTCTGGCACTGTTTCCCTTTAGGGCAGTGGGTGCCCTAGAATAGAGAGATTGCAGTCTGGGTGAGGTAGAGTGGGAACAGGCCTCGGTAGCCAGCCAGGGAGCCAGCCTTGGTGCCACAGCACTGGGGTTGATTTGTGAAGCCCCTGAACAAGGGTTACAGGAGTCAAGTGCCTGCCTTCCCTCCTGTCTTGGAAAACCCAGACCTCTAAAATCCCATTATCTTCCTCCCCCAGGCTCCCCAGTCCTGGGTCTCCTCCCAGGGCCACCTATTGCCCATCATTGCACACACCCCTCCACCATAGGCATGATCCTGCCAGTGCGTCCAGAGAGCGCTTAGCATCTGCTTCTGGAGCATGCAGAGTTGGTCACACAAGCTACAGGTGGCTGTACTTACAAAATTTTCTCTCCCATCGAAAGCACATTCTGTCATTTGTATTTATCCCTCAAACCCTCTCTGTCCTCACCAAGGGAGGCCTTCCTCACAGTCATACATAGGGCCCAGAAGCTAGCTCCCTACCTCAGGGCAGCCTGAAGCCAGTGCTCCATCATCTACACCTGTGGGATCCCAAGCTCATTACTTCCACAGGCCTGTCTCCTCAGCTGTGGGGTAAGGTGGGACAGCCAGGTTACTAAGGCTTTTCAAGAATTAAAGTCCTATCATCTATAACCTTATTTGTGAGGGTCTTGAACCCTCAGAAGCAAAGGGCAGATGTTGACGTGAGAGACATACAACAAGGATGCATGTTCTGGCTAGAGAATCTAAGCCACCAACTAACACAGTAGGTGCCTCTAGCAAGCTCTGGGGTAGCTACTGCATTGATATTAGCCCATTTTACTGTACGAGGTACTTTTTCAAGTGTATTCCAGACTTTTGTATGTACATATCGCACTTTTGGGATAGACGAATGCTTTGAGGAAAACACATATTTTGGGGCATATAGACACGTTCAGGTACGTGCATACTGCATACTCAGGATACCTACACTGTGTGTGTCGACACCACAGCTATGGAAACTCTGGGGGCTAAGGGCACAGACTTTTCAACCAGATGAAATGGAATATGATGAACTTACCTGTAAAATGGGAATAACAGCAGGACTCTCCTCACAGCGCTCTTGGAAAGATTCAAGAAGGCAATGCTTAGAACAGTCACAGCGTGGCTGGCATGGGAGGAACACACGCTTTGTAGTTTGTTACTGTGCAGGGGTGTAGAGACAATTTACAATGTGTAGGTTATAGGGAATCCCAGGGGTAAAAAACTTGAAACTTCAATTATCAGACAGGGAGAGCCACTTAATCCATGTTTATTTCACATTTGATCTGTAAACTTTATTTTTTTAAAAAAAAAAATTCACTGTCATAAGCAACAAGTGCTGACATTTAGTTTTTCTTTCGTGAAATCAGAGCACAGGCCTTCCCTGTCCACCTAAAATAAGTAGAAACCCTGCTGTAAACATGTCTCTGCCTTCCTCCCTGACTCTGGCAATTCATTAGTGACATGATCTCAGCCAGAAAAGCAGGGGGAAGGGAACACTTTCCTACCTAAGAGCTCTTGGGGTTGGCGCTGTACAGTGCGCAGGCCCATTTGTCTTCTCACTGTTTACCTTGTGCAAACTGTATCAGGTTTGTTTCTTCCACATAATTTCCACTCCTGTGTGGCTAAAATCAGCAGCTAAAAGATTCCCTCTTAGATGGCTCTTTCTGGGGGAGGGACGGTACACATACAATCTAGAAACTTACATATTCTTCTTCAAGCCTTGGCCCCAGAGTAGTGGGGAATCCACAGAGTCGGTTTCAAAGTGAGTTACTGGGGCAAGTGGTGCCTCAGAAGATAATGGCTTCATACACAGGGCTGATGCAAGGCGGAAGGTTCATTTCCTTCTGTCTTGGTCCATCGCTCTAATATTTACATAGGAAAAGGCAATTATGCTGTTAGGCACGGGCGGGGGGGGAAGAGGGAGGAACATGAACAGAAACCCTTTCCCTGTCAGGAAATCTCAAAGCAGGTCTGTGTCCGAGGGACTGTCACCAGTTACTGGTAAAAAGCACAGAGAGCAACATAACACTAGAAAAGGGCTCGCATCACGAAGGAGCTTGGTCTGGACCAGGTTAGCTGCTGGAGAGCATCTCCACGGTTTCAACATCACACCAATGCCAACACTGAAGACTTCAAAGTATGATATCAAAAATAATGTATATTTACAATGGGGGTGGGGAGGGCTGGCAGGGCTGCCCTGAATGGTTTTTTAAAGGGGGGGAGGGGAGAGTGGTAATTAGCCCGGGCTAGGAAATCTTGGTTCATTAACCCTTTGGCAGCCATGCCTTCTCTAGTACTGAGCTTGCTCTGAAGAGCTTGGGAGAGTCAGACTGGTGGAGAGGGTGGCAAGGTCATTAGGAAACAATACTGATCGGAGTAGCCCACCAGAAAATGGCTGTGGGTGGGGAGCAACTGAAACAACCACCAAAAGGCGCATGTGTCCCTCTCAGCCAGAACTTTACACGTGTAACAAAAGGTGTCCTCAAAGACCAAGGAGCAGGTAGGTCCTGGGTTTCAGAGTGCTGGGGCTGCATGCACAGACACGCCCTCTCGAAGCCCGGGCCCTGCATCGAACAAGCGTCTGTAAGCAGGGCACATCCCACTCGCTCACACGATGCGCTTTCTGTCCCCACGGCAGAGAATCTTCTTGAAGGCGCGGCGGAAGTCGTGGTTGAAGATGGTGTAGATGACCGGGTTCAGCGAGCTGTTGCAGTAGCCAAACCAGAAGAAGAAGTTGAAGAGCTGATAGGGCACGGGGCAGCCGACCGCTATGAGTGTGTAAGTGAAAAAGAACGGGAACCAACACACCACGAACACGCCGATGACTACAGCCAGCACGAACGTGAAGCGCTTCTCGCGGTTTTGCCGCCCGCGCCAGCGCGACGCTTTGACGCCGCGCTCCTCTCCAGGCCCGGACCCAGAAGTCCCAGGCCCCGCGGCCCCAGGCCCGCGCCGAGGCAGACTGTCCCCCGGCTTCACTTGGCTCGCCCGGGTCTTGCCCTTGGCCCGGGGACCGCGCTCGGGTCTACGGGGTCCCGGGGGCCGCTCGGCATGCTCGGACGACGAACTCTCCTCTAGGTCCAGCGCATCCCCGTCGCGGGGCCCAGCGGGCGCGGGCTCCCCCGG